TATCAGACCTGATCACTTGCATTTTACATTTACTTTGATTTTCAGCCCAAGCTTTAAACTTCCAGAAGATGTCAGCAACTTCAGATTTAAATTTCATGAAATAAATCTAGCACATTCTTGTGTGATCATCAATGAAAGCAATATAGAACTTACTGCCATTCAGTGATGGTTTTCTCTGAGGTCCTCCCATATCAGTGTGTACTAACTGCAACTTCTGTGTAGTTCTCCAGGCCTTGTTTTGTGGGAAAGGAAGTCTTGTTTGTTTCTCGTACTGACAGGCTACACAAGTAGGAGGCTTCACCTCTAATTCAGGCAAGTCTTCTCCAAGATCGTTCCTCTTCATAAAGAGAAGAGCGGTATGATGAAAGTGCCCCAAACGCCTATGCCAAAGCATTGTATTGCCTTTTTCTTTGTAAATTGCAGCCTGCTCTTCTTGCATCAAATCCAAGGCAAAGTTTTTGCCTTTCATTTGGACTATAAATACCTCTCTGCCTTGTGCATCAGCAGTCATGCAATGATTGTCCTCAAACAGCACCTTATAGCCTTTTTCTAGCAGCTGACCAACACTTAACAGATTTTGATTAATCTCAAGAACATATAAGACATTAGAGATTAATTTCAAACCTGTGTAGCCTTCAATTGCCACTGTTCCTTTGCCTTTTACTGCAAGATATGCTCCATTTCCAATTCTAACTTTGGAAGTAACAGTTTTGTCAAGTTCCTTAAAGAGACCCTTGATCATAAGTCATATGGTTTGTACAACCACTGTCTATAAGCCAAGTTTCTAGGGAGCTGCTAGTGGCAAAGCATGATACCACAAACAATTGCTCATCTTGAGGTTCTTCCACAACAACCTTGGCTTCTCCTTACTGCTGTTGAGATTTGCATATCCTTTCCACATGCCCTAGCTGACCACACTTGTGACATTTTTCATCCGGCCTCCACCAACAACTTCTTTGTGGATGATTGGATTTTTGATAGTAAGTACATGGTGGAAACTTTTGAGTGCTGTTGCTATTTTTATTGTTGCTTTGCATCTCTTTCTTGTACTGAGATATGGCCTGAAATGCACCCTCCATAGATCCTTGTTGTCTCATAAGCCTCCTTTGTTCTTGAGCCTGTAATGCATTCAACAGCTCTGCCAAGGTGATACTTGACACATCTTTTGAGTTTTCTAGAGATGATATTGTAGTTTCAAACTTTTCAGGAACTGTTATAAAAATTTTCTGAACTATTCTAGAATCAAAAAAGTTAGTACAAAGAAGTCTTACTTTGTTAACAATACTAAGAAGTCTGTCTGAGTAGTCCTTGATTGTTTCTGATTCTTTCATCCTTTGCATCTCAAATTCTCTAATCAGGTTCAACACTTGCATACCTTTGACTCGTTCATTTCCTTCATATTCCTTCTTCAGGAAGTTCCATATTTCATTTGCTGTCTTCAGTGTCATGATTCTGGTGAAAATTGTAGATGAGACAAATGCAAATAGACTAGCTTTTGCCTTTGATTTCCTTTGCCTCCTCTCATTGTGTTGTTTTATTTGAGCCATAGTTGGATTGTCGGACAAGGGAGAAACTTCATATTCCTCACTAATAGCTTCCCACAGATCACTAGCATCAAGGTAGGCTTCCATACGGACAACCCACATTTGATAATTTATTCCATCAAACACTGGAGGTGCTAGTGCATTCAGTGAAGCTTTTGAGGTCATTCTGGATATTGTTTGTAGGTTTTTTTTTTTTTTTTTTTTTTTTGTGTTTTGGATAGGGTAGATGGTGGTGTATAGGCTCACTCACCTCACAGATTGCTCAAGAACTTGGCTCTAATACCAATTTGTAGGTTTTGATAGAAACAAAGTGTAGAAACTCATAGGATGCAACAGAACATTGAGTGATCTAAAGTCATAATTTTACTAAGCTTCAAAGCACTTATTTATACAGCTAGCTTAAAACAGAAAAACATAAAAAGTGCAGCTTAATCTGCTACCTGCAGATACCTCCTAAAAAATAGCAACAAACTTGCTACCTATAGATACTTCCTAAAGAATAGAAACAAACCAACAAATATTTCCTAAGGAATACATAAATCTTCCACATGACTAACTTATTCGACTACTTCCACTTCAATCTACTCAGCTCCATGTCAGCAGCTCCTAGGATATGTCATTCAACAAGAACAATGCCGAAAAAAGGGTCTCTTGAAGCAGAAAATAAAATAAGAGTTAAAATGTAATAAGCAAGTTAAAATGTAATAAGAAAATTTCAAAGTTCCTAGCATTCTATACACATCATTCGAGAGTTCAGGGCATAGAAACCATTATTTTCCCTTATACTCCTCTATTCTGGGAAATCTGTAGTCCAACTAATGGGGGTGCTTCAGTACTAAAGACCACCATGGCCCATTGCCAAAGCTACTTTCAGAACTTTAAAAGGCTTGCCAAGCAGTATGATAAACCGTAGCTGCCTACAGGTGCATAAGTATTTCATATATAGGCACGTATGTATGCAACAGAACTTTCATTACCCACTCAATTATTCATTGAAAAACAATTGGCATCTCCTGGCGCAGTGGTATTGTTGGGAGAAATGTATCTAAACAACTACTTTAATGGGAAATATCCTAGAAGTGGAGAAACATACCAATCACGGTGAGTAATAAAAGTTCGTATTCAGTACACAAGACTATCGCATATAAACGAAACTTCTTCTTTCTAAAGTATCAGCTGTATTATCTATCCATCCAATATACTTAGATGAGAAATATCTTAGAAATGGAGTCTATAGAAAATTCTCGAATGGAAAGAAAAGAGCAGAAATGGTGCCTTGAATCCTTGAAAAATATACCGGGGGGACTCCTCCTTTTACTTTCTGATGAGAATGTATCATCTTTCTCAGCCAAAATTAGAAAATTGTAATCGAACTTCACCAAACACTTTGCCCAATGGCAGCTAGTTTGATCAAACCAATGATGCCATACAGAAATGAAAATTTTTCTGAGAAACAATGATTCAAATCCTGCAAAGTTCATCACACAATCATTAAAGATTGATTGCTTGAAGTTAAGAAACAAGTTTGCTTTATAAAGTACAGGAAAACAAATTAATACAAAAGTGAAAAAAATTTCACAGATACACAGGTGGCAATCAATCTGGTGACAACAAATGTAAAAATCAAAAAAAACCCAAAAAAAAAGAAAGAAGACGAACCAAGTCAAGTTTGCTCACCAACAAGGTTGATTCGTGAACTAACCTTGAGACTCAAATGTTCATATCAAGTTTGAAAAATTAATACCAATCAAAAAAGACCGTCAACCTCGAAGTCCACAGAGAGAGAAAGAGACAGAGAGAGACTCATTTTGACCCAGAGTCCCATAAGAAAAATCAAAGCACCCTTCCAACACCAGCTTTGGAACCTTTATCCATCTGGTTCCATCCATCAAAAAATAAGAGTTTCTTCTACAAAATCCACAGACTTGTATAGATTTTGGAATCTTAGACACCCTCTAAAACTTATCTCTCCATGTCCATGGTGCCTATCACAATCAAATGGACAACAAATGCAAACACATGTAGCTGCCAACCAGAATATGAGAGAGAGTGCATGTCTACTTTATACTACCTTTTTTTCTCTGGCCAAAAACTGGTATATTATTACAAATACTATAAAAACTAGGTTTTTGGAGTTTTTTGGGCAATTTTTGCCCTAATCGTTTTGCACCCACCCACCACCCATCTCTTCTGTCTTCTGCCTGTCCCCCCCCTCTCTCTCTCTCACAGTTTAGCTGTTGAACTCAAAGCCTCTATCTCTCTCGATGTAACTGTCGAACTCGAAATCTCGAATCGAAGGAATCATCCCTCTATCACCATCATATAATCGTCTCTCGGAATCCTTCACCACCATCAGCCGATTGATTGAGGATTTTTTTTCACTTGTTTTGCTTCTCACAGACCATTGTTTTGCTCGATCAAGCCCTCTTAACTGGTACATCTCTTTTTGTAGTATTGACTGTATTGTAGACTAAGTTAATAAATTAGTCAATGATACTTGATATTACATATGAAATTAAGGACATTATTTAATTATTAATTCCAAAAATTACAAATTTAGAAAGATAAAGTTAGAGTTTTAATCTGGTTGATTGAGCGGTGGGTGAAGGTGAAATCTTAATGTCTAAATGAGCATGAGTTTTGACTTAATTGTTACTAATTTATCTATTTGATTGGAAATCTATTTGGTGATTTTGAAATTTTTGTTTGATGTAAAATATATTAAGAATATTATTTTTATAATTTTTATGATTTTTAAGCACATTTATTATTAATAATAATATATTTTTATTATATTACCAATTCGACCAATAAGTCGTTAATCCTAGCCGAATTTTAAAAGTACGGGTCATTATCGCCTCTCTTCCAACGGTCCAACTATTTAAAAACAAGCTGCCAAACTGACAGTATTTCCCCGCCAATCCCCCCTCTCTCTCTCTCTCACTCCTTCATCTCACGCCCATCTCTGCTACGCCTCCATCACCACATCTGCAATCTCTACCACACTTCCACCCCCACATCTGCAATCTCTGCCACACCTCCGCCTCAATGGCCGAAACCCCAAAGACAAAATCAAAGCAATCTTCACCTCCTCACAAGAATCCCTAACAACAAAGCCCACACTATTGTTCCCCTACACCTACCCCAATCACTCCAACCCCTCGTTGCCGCTCTCCCCGCCTCATCTCCTCACCTGTTCCACCATTATCCAGATCTTCCCTCCCAAAATTTCTTCACTTTAATTCCGAAACCTACCAAAAATCAGTTACTCATAACTTGAAATCCACCCAAAATGCCAATGCATCGACACGAAAATCAGGCATTGATCCAATCGATGGGTCATTGACACCCGTATCACCGGATCATTACGAGGCCAAAAAAAGAAAGAAATTTAACGAAAACAAAGTGGGCATTGACAAAACTAGGGTTTTGAAGAGTTCCGGGGGATCAAAGAAAATGGTGTATTATAAGAATGTAGAATATGATGGGGGTGAGTTTTCGGTGGGGGACGATGTGTATGTGAAGAGAAGAGAGGATGCAAGCTCGGATGAGGAAGACCCAGAAGTGGAGGAGTGTAGGGTTTGTCTCAAGACTGGCAAGGCAGTGATGATTGAATGTGATGATTGTTTGGGTGGGTTTCATTTGAAATGGTCAAAGCCGCCACTGAAAGAGGTCCCAGAAGGAGATTGGATTTGTGACTATTGTGAGGCAAAAAAATTGAGGAAAAATGTTGAAGTACCTCAGCCACCAGTAGGGAAGCAACGACCAAGGACTGCAAGGGAGAAGCTTCTTTCAAGTGATTTATGGGCGGCTCACATTGAGAGGTACAGTTTATCTTAAGAAATGGCATGAAATTACTGTAATTTGTCTTAATGAATCTATTGTTAATGATGGTGATGATAATAAGTTTTATGATTGTTGTGATGTCTAAAGTATTTGGAAAGAGGTGGATGGTGATTATTTGTTTCGGGGGCGTTGGTATATAATTCCTGAAGAAACTGCCCCAGGAAGACAACCGCATAATTTAAGGAGGGAGCTCTATCAGACCAATGATTTTGCTGATATTGAGGTAACATATGCCCTTTTCTGTTGTTTATTCGATAATCTCTTGATTGGGTGTGTGCTAATGTACTTTGGGTTCTTTCAGTGATTCTTACTGTACCATATTAGAAATTTTAATTTTCAATGGATCAATCTACATCAAGATATGGTTTTCCTTTGACAGCACACAAATGCAAGTGAATGTCAATAAATGAATGCACCGATGTTAGTAAGACACATAGGCAGATTCCTTCAGGGATTGGAAGAATCTTAACAACATAATCAGTCATCTAGATGTTCTATCAGAATGCTTTTACTGTAGAGCAAATGAAAATTAAGGAAGACCACCTATACGTTTCAGCACGCACATGGTCTCAGATCTTTTGATCTTTCAAACTTTTCAAATTGAAATTGCTGTTTGTTTAAGCTGTAGGCATTGTGACTTCTGAACCCTAGCCCCAAAAAATTTGTGGTGGAGAATGGAACTCATCAGGTGATTTTCCAAGCTTGAAAATTCATGTTAGAACAACAAGTTAGGAAGATGAAGGGCACACTTTAGGAATATAAAGTGCTGTGTGTGATTCTATTCTATTGGGTTGCTCTTACTGCAGAGTAAAAGAGCATAAAGAAAGCTTATGCAATTAGCGTGCACATGGCATGCAATCTTTTAGTTTTTCAAACTTTTCAATGAAAATTGCTGGTTATTTTAGTTGGAGGCACTGACAATTATGAATTATAGCTCCTATAAATTGAGGGAGAACGAGCTACCTAAGTATGATGATTGGCTGAGCTAAAAAAATCTAGTTAGAACACTTCCATTTTGTTATTTTCTTATCTTACTTATCTCCCTCACAAGTCCTCTTGATTATGATGCGAGGACCTAATGGTTCAAAGAGAGAGAGAGAGAGAGACACTTTTGAAGATGCCAAATATCTACGTGTGTACATATATTGCCATGCCAGGCTTTCTTGCTTTCTTACTCCATGCTTGTACTTTTAAAGTATGACATAAATTAGGCTTGTAATTGAATTGAATTTCCAGTTAGTGTAAATTGAGTTTGGATTATAGATGTCTTGCTTTATAGGCTTATTGAGTATCATTTTTAACTTGGCAATCTTCACTTAATTGTCTTCATCTCTGACCTTTCCAATTGTTTGTTGGACCAAACACACTCACAATCCTTTGTTTGCTTATTATTCTGTGAATTCCTACAGTGACACTTTGTTTAAGAGCTGTATTGTCTTCCCTCAACTCTTATGTTAATTCTTTTTCTGTAGATGGAGTGTCTTATAAGGCATTGTTATGTTATGAATCCCAAAGAATTTGCCAAGGAAAGCAATGGTGATGATGTTTATTTATGTGAATATGAATATGACATACATTGGCATACTTTCAAGCGTATTGCAGAGATTGACAATTGTGAAGGGGTAAGCTCTCATAAAATTAAGTGCATTTGGAGGAAGGAAGTCATTGGCATTTGCTTGTAATCTATTTTCTCACTCTCATTTGGTAGGATGATGAAGAAGCTGACAGTGATGAACATTGGAGTTCTTGCAAGGATTCTGACTCTGAAACAGAAGACACGGAACATGAAGAGAGACGCAGGAATCTAGTCGCTGGACAATTCCCCACACATCAGTTGGCTGCAGTATGGCCTTTTCCTTTATTTGACTATGTGGTTAATAGTCTGGTGGCTGTTTGAAGAAGAGGTCTAACCATTTTTTAATGTTACAGAACTCGCGAAAGGGGCAAATCTTTGGCCTTCAGGAATAGGGACAAAGAAAATCCAGGAACATGTGAGATGCCACAAGCAGACTGAACTTGAAAAGGCTAAAGCAACGCTATTGTTGGCAACTTTACCCAAATTTCTTCCTTGTAGAAATAAGTACGCTTGACTTGAAAAGTATGATTCAGGATTTTTTGTGTTCACTGTCTATTAGGGGCATGTTCTGTTATGCAGAGAAATGGAAGAGATAACCGCATTTATAAAAGGTGCCATATGTGATGATCAATGCCTTGGACGATGTCTGTACATTCATGGAGTTCCTGGTATTGGCAAGGTAGAATCTATCAGCTGTGAAAATATAACCTTTGGGGTCGGATAAACAGGGTATAGCTGTATAGGTCATTTCTGGATATTTTAGCTGGTTAAATTTTACTTATTTGTTTTTCATTATCTCCGCCAAATTGCAGACAATGAGTGTACTTGCAGTAATGAGGAGTCTAAGGTCCGAGGTTGATGCAGGAGGTATTAACCGTTACTGCTTTGTGGAGATTAATAGTCTGAAATTGGCATCACCGGAGAACATTTACAGGGTAAGGAGTCACAGTTAATGTGGTCTATGTCATGATTTTTGAAAGAGTGTACTCATTTTCCCATCTATCTTTACATCCATTATCAGGTTATTTATGAAGCTTTAAGTGGACACAGGGTTAGTTGGAAAAAGGCTCTCCACTTGCTGAATGAGCGTTTCTCAAATAGAAACAAAACTGACAGGGAGGACAACCGACCTTGTATTCTGCTCATTGATGAACTTGATCTTCTTGTAACTCGAAACCAATCGGTAAATTAGGCATTTTACTGAGCAATAGTATCAGTAGTCAAAATCAATATCAAATTTCCAAAATTAAAGTGTTATTTATCGACAACCCCTTCTTTATCAAGTTCTGTATAACATTCTTGATTGGCCTACTAAGCCACATTCCAGATTGATTGTAATATGTAGGAATTTATTCTTGTAACATCTTCTTCCCAGCAGAATAATGACTTCTACGAAATCGAACTTAATTTTTATGACATTAATTTAGGGATTGCAAATACTATGGATCTTCCGGAGAAGTTGCTTCCCCGTATTTCAAGCCGTATGGGCATACAAAGGCTGTGCTTTGGTCCCTATAATTATCAGCAACTTCAAAAAATCATTTCAAGTTGTCTAAAAGGAATTGATGCATTTGAAAAACAAGCTATAGAATTTGCTTCAAGAAAGGTTGATTCTCACGCTATTTCTGATATGCTTGATTTTACTTTTACACTCATCTGCTGAGATAGATAGCTAATGGATTCTTCTTCTCAGTTGGCTTTTGAGTTTTGATCACCCTCCTTGCATTTTTAATATAATATCAGGTGGCAGCTATTTCAGGAGATGCACGTCGTGCACTGGAGATATGTAGGCATGCGGCTGAACTCACAGATTATCATAATAAGAATTCAAATCCCAATTCTGCTCCTGCAGGTAGAGATACTTCGACTACCTCTGTATTCCACGTTGCAATAAGAAAGGATAATGGACAGATAACTCTAGAGTTAGAAGGTTGGACTTACCTTCTTGACAATCACCAGGTTATATCTGAAGACCCCCCTGACACTGTGCAAGACATTATCAACAAGTCAAATATGTATGGTGCAGCAGCAGTCTAGATACGTAGAAATGAGCTCTAGGTTGCCCGGTGTAACAGCCAGCTAATCTGTATTGGTGGATGCCTTCGACACTTCTACAATACTACTGGCATAGCAGAAATGGATCCACCTGGGATAAATCAGCTCAAGACTTTCTAGGATGATTCAGTAGAATGACTTTAATTCATTTCATAAAACTTCAAAATAGAGAGATCAAGAATTCACCATTTCTTAGATGCATGGATTTAATTTATACTGTGGGTTCCTACTTTCCCCGGAACAGGATATCTTATAGAACTCCTTCGCCCAAAAATGTTTTTAACATGGTTTATCACATTGAGCATGTTATGAGAAAATAGCTTTGTATGCCCATTGCTGTCAATATTGTTGTTCTCTGCAGTTTATTCTGACTCCTCTGGTTTGTTAATTGGGGGGCATCATATTATTACCACAGTATCTAGCTGCCGACGTAATGAGATTATAGAACTACCACCTCCATACTGTCTTGGGCTATGGAGGACCTGCTATGCTGATAATTACATGAGAATCTGCCAACTGACAACCTAATAGATGATGTTGCTGCCTGAGACAAATATTTATGGAAATTAATGGGAGGATAGGTTAAAAAGGAATATGCCTAGCCACCTACAATGTGCTATATGTTTCCTTGTAACACTCAATCTGCAGAGATGTAATATTTTCCTAACGTTTCAATAATGATTTTAATTTTAATCTGGAAGTATGCCTTATTCATGCATGTATGTTTCCTTATTCATCCATATTTTCACATGGTTTATTCTTCACCTGCCGGATATGCAATATTTGGTCTGATGAAACATTGGTGTCAATTGTCATCATTAATGCCCAGAATTAGAATTCATTTCAGCAAGAACTGTTTTCTGCTTGTTCTAGAAGATATTTCTGCTAATCTAATGGTGTTACATTGTCTGCTTTCCAGGAAAAGCTCTTGTTGGCATGGTAGAGGTTGAAACTGCCATACAGGAGATGTTCCAGGCTCCTCATATTCAAGTGAGTCAAAAATAAACTGAATGAGATTTCTTATACACTGTTTCCCTCTATTTTTTCCTTCTCAACAAACATTATATTCCTTGCCAACCAAATTTCAATTGTCTTCTGGTGGAACCTATTCGTAAACTAGTCTATCAAAATAACAACCAGAACAAAAGAATAAAGAACAAAAAAGCTACTATATGTTGTAGATTTTGAATGAGAAATATCCTATTCACGCTATTAAGTGATACTGAAAATGCCCCGGGTCAAAAATTCAGTGGCTATGATCAATTTTCACTGCATGGTTTTTGTGCTACTTTAAAGCATATAGCACCGATACCTGTGTAGGTTTTAGTTGCATTGTTTGAGCACTTCCGTTTTTGAGAAAAAGATATACGGTTCGGTTATGAGCTTTGATCTTTCTTTAATGACTGTCAGAGTCTTACTTTACATGAATTTCTTAATTACATTTCTTTTTCTTTTCAGGTTATGAGAAGTTGCTCCAAACTGAGTAAAATCTTCTTGGCAGCCATGGTGCATGAGCTTTATAAAACAGGAATGGCCAAAACTACATTTGGAAAGGTCAATTTTCTAAGTTTTACCCACGACCTATGTAATCACAAAAGTATGGTGATATTGCATTGCTGTTACATGGAGCTCATCACTCCTGAGTAGGACACTTGTTTGAACCACATCACCAATCACTAACGACTTAACAGGCAATGAATGTATCACTTGGATTTCTCTTTTTATCAATATTTGTTTCGGGCCACAATGTGTATATAGGGTTGACCCCAAAATATTTGCATTAAGTGCATGTTAATTGTGTGCCATAAATGCCAGAGGCATGGTTGGATGCTAGAAGCCCAGCACCTTAAGTCTGCTATGTTCCCTGATGGAGACTAGAGAACATGGATTGGAGTCATTTAAGAAAATGGCTAATTATTGTTGAAGCACCACTAAGTGGAAATTGGACCATGTTTTTAGTTTACAAAATGTTTCTGTCATTAATTTCTTTTGTTCCAAGGCTGCATAAAGCATTCTAGCAGTTTGCAATGTATGATATCAAAAGGGCTTTTGAATACTTGTCTGAATGTTTGATTAAAAAATAAAGGATTTGCTTTCATATGTATTGAAAGATGCTTATCTAAATGCAGTTGGCAACGACTGTCTCATGTCTCTGTGCAAGCAATAGAGAAGCATTTCCTGGATGGGACACACTTCTGAAAGTTGGGTAAGCCACATTCTCCTGTTTACTTCACACCTTACACTAGCTGAACTATAGTTCATCTTTGCAGATCTGACGTTGTGAAAGGGTGTTTACTAGGGCTATAAGTGCGCTGGTGTATGAGCTTGACTTACATGTTTCATTTCAGGATCTGGACTAAAAATATCCAATTGGGCATCTCAAGCTCTATGTTGGCCCCTAGCTATTGAAACTGCAAAGAAATTTCCTTTGGTAGCCCTAGCTAGTTTACTTGCAAGGAAAAAATCATTCTTTATGCTTTTTATGACAGTGGATGACAAGTATGTTCTTGTATTTCACGGCACTTAAAATGAAGCTCTGCTTCCTTGAGTGTGCATCTGTATGTGTTTGTTGATCCTATTTCTCAGATGGATTCCTGGGTGCACTATGGCTGTAGAAGGGCAATCACAATCACAAATTAGCTGGTTGCGTATTTTTCACTAATGTGGGTTTTGAACAGATTGGATAATGGCATTTAAATTAATTTATCAGATTGATTACTTCTAAACCCAATCAAGTGATGATGAACGATGCCGTCTCTCATTCCTTGATAATCTCTCTTGACTCTCTCATTTTAAATATGAGTTGCACGACAATCTTGCATTCGTTGTGCTGTTACTTTTCAGCATTTTTGGGGAATAATTGGTAGTTAGTTCTTGTATGAATTATCCCGCCACACGTGTTATTTAATTTGTTGTGTGTTTTTTTAGCTGTGTTTGTTAGTGGATTTTGATTATTTCTTTGTATTAAGAGGTGTGATCCAACCTAACCCAACCCATTGTGACAAAACTCATTATAATCCGCTTCTTGGGTTTAAATGAATCTGAATTGGATTAATCCGACCGGTTTCTGACCTTTTTATACCCGCCTAACTTGTCTCTTTGTCAATGCTAAGTATGGAATTGAAAATGAGAACAATAGGAGCTTATTTATCACAAATGGATTGGATCTATTCCATTTTCTGAAACAAGAAATCTCTAACTCCTTTTTATTTGGTTTTTTCCTTGGTGGGCAGCTGTAAGTTTGGTGAATGCAGAATCATTCTATGTGAGGCAGGAGCTAGGCATAGGTTGCAGAAGTTGCAACTCAACTTTCCAAGGTATATGTCCTTTGCTGAAACCCACCACAACAGAGTTATTCCTCTTGGCATGGCTGTCTAGTTCTCTTTGCGTAATTATCTTATCATAAAACGTGCTCCCAACTTTGCATAAACCAGCATCTTGCATTTGAAGGTTTGAGGAAGATCACACAAGTTCATCCCCATCTTGAATCATTGACCTAAATGTATGACTTTAACGCATTTTTTCACTGGAGAAATTATTTTGATCAACAATGTGATGCAACTGTGGTTCGATCAAGGTTGTCAAAAAGTGTATTAAAATGCGTATCTTTTTTAAATGTGTCGTGAACGCTCAATTTAAATTTATATACATATGCATACCTAAAAATATGTAAATATATATTGTCCCAAAGTGAATACAAATATCATTTCAACTAACATATCAATATTAAAAGAGAGACAATTGTTTGTTGTAACAATAGATCGAAATAAAGCTAGGGTTTGGTCTATTTGAAAGAGCCAAAGAATAAAATGTAGGCGAAACAAAAAAGGGTTGCAAAAGAAGAACATGATTGAGAGTTCGTTTGTTTGAGATAAAAGCAAAAAAAAAAAAAAAAAAAAA